GCTGGAGAATTACCTTTCAAATACCTAGGTGTACCTTTGTCTACCAAGAAGCTAAGTGTTCTTCAGTGGCAACCTCTTATTGACAAAATGACTGGCAGAATTACTTCTTGGACTGCGAAGACCTTGTCTTATGCTGGGAGGGTACAGTTAGTTCAAAGTGTGTTGTTTGGTATACAAGCTTTCTGGGCACAACTATTTATATTACCAACAAAAGTGATCAAGGTTGTAGAGGAATTATGCAAGTCTTATATATGGTCGGGGGTTAATGAAATCACAAAGAAGGCATTGGTTGCATGGGACAAAGTATATTTACCTAAAGCTGGGGGTGGTCTCAATATCACCAATCTGAAGTTATGGAACAAAGCAGCCATTGTAAAAATCTGTTGGGACTTAGCACACAAACAAGACAAATTGTGGATTCGATGGATTCATACATATTATATCAAAAGTCAGCAGATTGATACAATGCCAATACCACAACAAGCTTGCTGGATGGTGAGAAAAGTGAACGAGGCAAAGGAGATACTGGCAAACAGACAATTTGAGCAAACTCACAAAAGAAGTTTGATTAGACAAATCTACTTATATTTGCTTGAAGATTACAGCAGGGTGGAATGGAAGAGCTTAATGTTCAATAATGCAGCACGACCAAAAGCAAGGTTTACAATGTGGCTTATGATGCATGAAAGATTGATGACTTGTGATAGACTGAGCAAGTGGGGGATTAATGTTGATACTCAATGTGTGTTATGCAGCAGGCAAGAGGAAACGAGAGATCACTTATTTATGCAGTGTGAATACACCAAGCAAATTTGGAGTAAACTCTGCCACCGAATACAAACACAATACTTGGGACCTAAATGGTTCTTTATAGAATATTTCCAACCCAAATTTCATCGCACATCACGATATTTTCTTTTCTCACTTTGTGCTGTTATAGTTGCTTATTTAATACAAGCTATCTTCATTTCTTTGATCCAATCTATATAGAAATATATATAGTCTTTTTACTAAATTTATAAGATGTCAAATCTCCAGCATCATATCTATCGTATAAAAAAAGAAAAAAGAGTACGACATATTATATACTCTTAATAAAACTTGCTTAGAAGATATGAATATAAAATTAATCATCAATTTGGATAACAAAAGCTTATAAGTGCATCAACCATAATAAGGGGGGAAAAGAAAAGAAACCGAAATACAAAGAATTAACACAAAAATGCAGTATAAGAAAACTTGAAAACACATTATGCCGAACAACAATTTTAAAAATATTGCAATTGGGTATTTTTTTAATTTTATTCCCAGCTACTAGTCACTTTTACAATATTTTACTAATATAATTGTTAGATGATTTTGATAATTTGGGGGCCCGACTTAGAACTCTCGGGTCGGGTTTTTACTAATGTTGGGTTGATGTAGTAAATGGTGTTATTAGCATTGATTGATCTGAAAGAATTACAATTTTGAGATCAAAAAAATGGAGGAGCAGAAGAAGAACAAGTACAGTATAATTATACCCACCTACAACGAACGCCTAAACATTGCTCTCGTCATTTACCTCGTCTTTAAACATCTCTCGTAAGCACTCTAATTTTTTATTTTTTATTTTTGCTTATTATGTATCCCCAGAAAATGGGTTTTGCGATACAGTTCATGTATTCCAGAATTGAATTGTTTTATATATATATATACGATCTTCTAGAAGCAACTTAGATTTGACAATGAATTGCGGTTGTGTAAAGGGAACTAATTGGAATTGTGTAAATTTGTTACTTTTAAGGTGGTTTCTGTAATATCCCAGCAGTGACATATTTGATTAAGATATGATCCAACTATATTTGGGTTCATAATGGTTTGATCGAAATATTAGTTATATGATGAGGAGTATTTGTAAAGATTGTAACTTTTTAGCTCGTTTTAGCGGAATGTAACATGGGTGATTGAGGGTTTTGGCAAAATATTGTAACTTTGAGCATGTTAATTGATTGGTAAGTAGGATTTTTTATTTATTTACAATCTGATTTGTACTGAGGGTTATTGGCACTTATCACTTATCAGGAGTTAATTTTGAAGGCGCTCCGTCAAAGTATTTAACAGTTCTCAGACACATTGTACGCTATTTCAGTTATTTTCAGTTAGCTTCTGTCCTTCACATCCTTACCATTTTTCCATGTTTGTTTGCTCATTGTTAAGAATATTGATACTCAACCACGAGACAGTGGACTTCAACCAAAAAGACTTTACTAGAGAGATTTACTTATCTGGATGTCGCAATCCTGTTTACTGCATCACATTGGTTGTTTATAATAACGCAAAAAAATGTTGACCATGTTCACGATGTTATTTAGTGGCTTTGAGGGGGATGATCCCATTTTGAGGACCAAAAGTCGCCTTTTCAATGTATTTGAATGATATTTCACTGCTGATTTCTTTGTAGCAGTACTTGGAGGTGATAAAATCATGTAAAAGTTATAAGCAGACTCTTATAGTAAGTTTTTTTTTCCCGACTCAGGGATGTTGATTTCGAAATAATAGTAGTGGATGATGGAAGTCCAGATGGCACACAGGATATTGTCAAACAATTGCAGAAAGTATATGGAGAAGATCATATTGTTAGTAGTTCCTTACTTCACCCAGTTGTTGCACGTTATGCTTCCTGGCTTATACCTATTAATCATCTCATTTTGCTCATTTCTCTTGTTTACTACAGTTATTGAGACCTCGACCTAGGAAACTTGGTTTAGGTACTTCTGCTTTAAGATGATAACCATGAATTATTTTGATAAGAAGATGTTAACCATGAATTAGTCTTTGACGTTCCTCTTATCTTAGGTACTGCATATATTCATGGTTTGAAGCATGCCTCAGGCAATTTTGTTGTCATTATGGATGCGGATCTTTCTCACCATGTAAGTATGATTGAAGATAAGGACTTCGTTTTGGTTTCCTTCTATCTTTTCTCTTTTCGCTGTTGTTGGAAAAGGTCCTTTATCTGTTTGTTTGAACATCAATTATTTTTGTTGGAAAAGGGACAGAAGGGGGATATGTGGAGTATAGTTAGTCTGTTTTTGCCTGATGTCATGGAAAGAAACAATTCAATAGCTCTGGTAGTTCACAGATCATCCGCTGTTTTGACTGTCTACGTCGAATAATTTAAATTGTATTTTTGTGGATTAAGAGTTATTTTTCATGTCTCTCATTTCTCACATACCTTGTCTGTGCCTGCTCTTCCATTACTTTTGGTGTACTTTCCCCCACATCCACCACCCCTCAAAAATAAAGGAAAGGGACAATTTGTTCCTTGGACAACTGAGACGTTATAGTGTAGGACAAAAATATCAGTGAGCTTTCTGAATTTATTATGTGATCCCATTGATAAGTCTGACTCACAACTAGACCGAGATTCTCTTTTTTCTCCTCATTTCTCCTTTCTTTTTTTTTTTACTTGGGGGGGGGGAGGAGGGGGTGGTATGGGGAAATTCGGGAAGGGGCCTTTGGTAAGCATGCGTTCCTGTTGAAGAGGCATAAGGTGATGCATTTTCTGGGCAGTGATAGCTTATTAGGTGAATGTATGCATCTCTATACTGAGCTTATTCTTCTGTTTGAATTTTAAATTTTATAGTTGATTCTTTTATACTCTTTTTTACAGCCGAAATACCTGCCAAGATTTATCAAGTGAGTATATATTTTCTTAATTTTCATTTTTCTTGTAATGGTGGGTCTAGAACTATAATTCAAATTTTATGTCCAGGAAACAAATGGAGACTGGTGCCAATATAGTTACTGGAACTCGATATGTTACTGGTGGTGGTGTCCACGGATGGAACCTTATGCGCAAATTGACAAGTAGGGGAGCAAATGTCCTTGCACAGACACTACTTTGGCCGGGTGTATCAGACTTAACTGGATCCTTCCGGTATGCTTTAACTTGGAAGTAAAGGAAAATCAGTGATTCTATGAATTGTAATGAATGTGTTTAGGAAATGTAATTGCATAAGAGGTTGCTTAGATTAAGATTACCTCTTAGTGTCTGGGACTCCGGCTTGGAGATTATAAATCTAATAGTGTGATGGATTGGGAGATAATAATAATAATAGATCTAAGACTTCCTATAATCCTTCAAACGTACAACTAAATAGGAGGGAAGTTTACATAGAAAAGCAAGAAAGACACCGTACTTTTATATGGAGAATTGATTTGGTCTCAGGAATCATTGTTTTTTGTATGATTTTGTTATTAAGCAATTGAATTATCATCACGAAATTTACTCTTATACTGGATCTTCCATGTGCCTTTTATACACTGGTAATGCTCACAGCTTTTGTAATTTGTAAAATCGGTGTCTGAAATTGAATTGCTTGTTTTGAAGGCTGTACCAGAAATCTGCACTAGAAGACATCATAAGCTGTTGTGTTAGTAAAGGATATGTTTTTCAGATGGAGATGATTGTTCGGGCTTCAAGAAAAGGTTACCGCATTGAAGAGGTAGCTACAGTCATGAATTTACTGTTGAATACTAATTCATCCACCGTATTATCATTTGGTTGGACCAGAAAATGTGTTCTCATTTCACATCTTGCTATTCATTGCACAATTTATGAGCTCCGAAATGCTATTCTAATAGAAATAATGATGCAACCTAATAGTGTATTCTCTCTCTCTCTCTCTCTCTCTCTCTCTCATGCTTCGGAAAATTCATGCATTTTGTGTTCTATTAGTTTGCATTTCACTCAAATCTGACTCCAAAATCTGTTTTTTTGGCCTCTGAATCCACTGTTATGCTTTGAGTGAGTGATCCTTGCATTGCGTTAGTCTTTCAACTGAGGAATTTCATTTGAGATTGTGGGGTTCTGCTTTTTACTTGATTGGTTCCAGTTCTTGAAAGTTAAAGATCTCAGCGTTTGTCAGCAAAACCATTTTCCATTTTGAGGCGAATTGCGTAATTAGGGATGGTGATTCTTTATGCAGGTGTCTGAACTGAGATTGTTGGGATTTAGATCTGTATCTGTAGTTGATCTAAGTGACATAGAAGTTGAAGTTTGATCTGCTACCAAGTTGGCTGATATTGGTGCCTTTTTATTTCATCGTGTGATGGACTGAGGAGCAAGGGAGAAAGGATTACCGGCCATGTACTCCATAGTTTGGTTGCAGAATGCTAGTAGCTAATTAACTCTGATCTCTGTTGGTATATTCGTTAGGGTCACTATGATTTGTTTAGACGAGTTAGTTGAGACGTGGAAAATATTGGAGACTCTACTATGTCCTTCTCGGGTGTTATAACCTTTCCACATAGAGTGCTACTGAGGAACTGTCTGTTCTTCCAACTCACACAAAGTTATTGTGATGGGAAACAACAGAACTATAGACTGTTTTGCTGGGGCTTCAGGGAGCTGTCAAGAAGGCTGTTGAGCTTGGTGGTTGGCATGGGCTGGTTTGAAAATATGGGTTGAAGTCAAGCTACAAAGAAATGCATTGAATGTGCTAGAACCTCCCGGGGAGGGGGGGGGGGGGGGGGGTGATGATTATGACTTTGGTGACTCGAGCAGTGGTGCAGCTCCTGGTGAAAGTGAAAACCATCACTTTGCCACTGGTGTTGCATACAGAAAAGTGAACAACCTACAGTTCATTTACGACACCATGGCGTTATCTGGACCAGCAAAGATAATGAGCCGTGGCAGCGAAGTTGAACCTAACTATTTTGCAGCCGAGGAGAACTTGGCAAAACTGAACTGGTTCATTATGGAGGTACTAGCGAAACTTCAACCAACACATAAATAAAGATCAGCTGCTTAGCCCTGTGCAGTTGTACTTCTCGGTGCAGCGAGTTGACGAGGCACATGTGGTAGTGGAATTTATCCGCTACCGAGAGATTAAGATCAGATCACAGTCACACACACACATTGAGATTTTATGACAGGCAAAGTTGAAGGTTGGATTTTTATCTGCAATATATGCATAGAGAGTAAATATTATGAACCTATTCAACTTAGTTCAGCTAATTTTAGACTGCTAGTGGAGACTGGGAGCTTCTTTGTTGGCTATCCTCCAATTATCTTTTGGATCCTTACCTTGTATTATGCGGCTGTGACCTGTTTGATATTTATAACCATCATTCCAAGAAAAATAAAGAGTCACTCTTTTTGTTTTTGTTTTGTTTTCTGTATTAGTTCTTCACAATTAGTCCCTGCAAGTACTTCATTGGTTTGTTTTATTTGTATGTTGTACCTTACATCTTTCTAAAGGTTTAGCGTAAATTCAAGTTCGAATTTTACTATTTGTAGGTTCCAATTACTTTTGTCGATAGAGTATTTGGAAGTTCCAAGCTGGGAGGATCTGAAATAGTGGAGTACCTGAAGGGCCTTCTGTATCTTCTGGTTACAACTTGATATGGATAGCAAGCTGCGACAATCTGAAGACTTGAACTAGAACCATTTAACATATTCTTTTTCTTTTTACTTCAGCTTAGGTGACAAATTTTGATGAATGAGCTATTATATATTTGAAAGATTGTTACTGAAGTAATTGTCAATGCTACTTTGGCTTATTTTATGGATGCTGCTTTTCAGTATTGGCTAGTACACTTGTACCAGTTATCTGTTATCAGATAATGTCATAAAAGTGCTTCCTTTTTCGGATCGTTGGATTAGTTTTAGGTCATTTTGATGTGGGGTCTAAGCAAATTGATTCCAACATTCTGTGAATTTAACTTGCATTTTCCAATGCTTATTCTGTGTGTCGTGAAATTGGACATATGTGTAGCTCCATCACAACTCACAACTTATATAACCTGCAACAAACTGTTTTGGTGCCCACAGACCTGTCCAAGGGTGATGATGTATGAGATGAATATAGTGGTCAGTTTTTATTATGATTGGTTGGGTTTCTCATTTCTCCTTGTTCCACTATTTCCAATAATTTGGATCAACTGACTAAATTACTATGAGATACATTGATTGGAAATAAACAGGCATAACTTCCAATGCCAGTAGTTAAATAGACTGCTATTGGTTCTGCAATGGAAAGAATGACACATAAATAAACATTAAGATAAGCCAACACACAAAGAAAAACTCAAATCACAGCCACCCATAAAATTAAACTGAAGCTATCAGCTACATAGCTCCTTCAATGTACTTCAAACATTAAAGCTGCAAGTGCTTTTCAATTTGCACAGCACTAACCACATTTTCCATCCAAAAGTTCAAGAAACTACTACTATTACTTTTTGTTCAATAAATAAAAGGTCTATGGAAAAATCAAACATCTGTAGGAGGTAAAAACAGGTTCATCCCAACTCAAATTTTCCTAACTCTTCTGACTGTAGTTTTCCTCTCTGAAAATCCAACAAATTTGTCCATGCTCACGGGCAATGGAGGCTTCTTGTTCTCCTTACTAGCCGCGCTTCTCAAGAAGTACCTTGGAGTTTCTCTCCTCTCAGCTATTGGAGTAGAAGCAACTGATTTCCTCGCACTTTGGTACACCTTAGGCTCTCCTCTTTTCTTCGAAGATTCAACTCTAACTCCCAAATCATAAGCTGGTTTCTTCTCATCTCCAGTGTCGCCTTTCTTCCTCTTCAATCTCTCATTCCTTCTAGCAGAGTACTCTTCGTAAAACCTTCCCCTTTCAAATAAAGGACTTCTCTTTGCATTCATTGAATCAGAGTTTCCAATAGCATTCACATCCCCATTACCAAATTCATTCTTCACCATTTTTGCTAAAGCCCTTAGTTCACAAGAAATGGTACGATACTCTGGACGAAGTTCCCATTCTTCAACATTGCTGCTAGCCCTTTTAGGCACCTGAGTTTTTGTCAAAGAACCTGCGTACAATGAAAAAATATTAGCCCAAGAAAAGATCTCTAAAAAACCATCAAAAAGTAAGAAAGAAAAGGGGTCCTCAAATTTTGTCATTTTCCAACTACTATATAAGCTATTAAAATCTGTCCTTGTTTACATTCAAAGAATAAGAAAATTCTGTTAAGACCATCAAGTTGGAGAACGAAAAGGGGTCTTTCATTTTGTATTTCAGTTCCAACTGTTGTACTAAGCATGGAAATTAATTCCATTTTTATAATCAAAGAGTTTAGCCAAAACAAATTCCACAAAAAACAAAAGAAAAACAACACAAAAACAACAACTACGCTCCAATCCTCTATATCAATAGTCAACACAACAAGCAAAAAGGGTCTCAAATTTTTTTCTTTCACCTCTAAAGCTACTGTATTAAGCATGAAAATTGGTTCTTATTTATATTCAAACAACTATCAAAACTAGAAATGAAAAACAACATAATAACATCCATTTTCTCTTCGTTCAAATACAAAAATGAAAAAGCAAAAGGGGTCTTAAATTTCTTCTTTCAGCTCTAACTACAAATACCTGGTGGGGTTCGAATAGCATTTGGAGTGGATTGAAGAACACGGCGAGTACGAACGCCAACAGGGGATCTAGCAAGTGGAGGTTTACGGTCTGATCTCCTCATCATCATCTTGGAAATGAACAAAAATCAAAGCTTGAAAATCTGGAAAAGGGAATTGAAAAACACAGAAAAATAGGTGAATTGAAACTTTAAGAAAAGGAGAGAAGTGGCGGAAAATGTGAAAGAGAAGAAAATATTTAGTGCTTACCTTAGTGCTTTGAGCGTTCTTCTTTTGGCGATATTAGTTTATTGTTGTTAATTTTGTCCTATTTGAGAGCCTTTTATATAATTTGAATTTCGCCGTAAAGTGGGGAGGAGCGCACCAACGGTCAAATTCAAAGATCAGACGGTTTCAAATTGTCTGAAATAAAAGAAAGGATTGATGGAATATTATTGCTAGTAGTATAAAGACAAAAGTTCTATATGGAGAATAATATAGAAATTAAATTCTTTGTAATATGATAATTAACTCTTTTTTTCAGTTTATAAAATTTCAACCTCAAAATGTAAAGTCTTTCTTCAAGAGACAATGTAAAGGAGCTATAATTTTTACTGTGAAGTCAACTATATAAATTCGCACGAACCATGTTACTCACGCTCATTTTTGTCTAAGTAACCTTATAAATATAATTTTTTGTATGTTATTAATCTATTGAGTAGAAATTAAATCTTTTTTCGAGATAATTCAAATGCTGAATTTACTGTATAGATTGTCTCAAGATGGACTTGTTGACATGTGACACATCTTAGAAAAAATAAATATTGAAATTCATAACAAGTAGGACGTCGATAATGCCAAAGCTTTATAGCATATTTGACCAAACTTCTCCAAAGATCAAAAATATTTTTTTTTCTTTTTTCAAAAACACTTTTTTTCTTAACTTAAGGTATTTGGGTTACACTCTGTGCGTCCCAACGTGACGTATAATGAATATGAGACTTGTTAATCATGATTTAAATGAGTTTAAAGTCATAATACGACTATATATGATGTTTGGATAAAACACATAAAGTTTGGGGAAAATCGGATTAAAGTTGAGAAAAACCAACTAAGAATTTGCCATATAACAGAGCTTTTTGAGAAATAAATTTCGTGTGCTATATGAGGTTTTTTGGGACATATTATATACCAAATTGAAGGTCTTAGAATGTAGTTTTCAACGCTCTTAACCGTTTGTTCATACGATATCCGGATAAAATGATATAAGCGTCGGAAGATGGGCAAATCAGAGGGTGCCAAGCTAGCACCTTTTGACTTTTCAAAAGTTAATATATTTTTTTTAACTCGTCTCTCTCTCTCTCTCTCTCTCTCTCTCTCTCTCTCTCTCTCTCTCTTTATTTTTACATAGCATCTGACCAGAGGACACCATAAACGGTCATTAAGCTCTCTAATATTGCTTCAAATAAGAGTATCATCTCGGACACGAAATCAAGAAGCGATAACATTAAAACGATCCCTACGACGTAAGTATCGCTATATCGCCTCTCTTTTTCTTTGTAGTTTGAGTTTTGGAATATAAGCTTTAAATATCTAGAAAAGTAGATAAATTCATTTCCTAATAGTTAGACCTCACGGGACGGTGATCGGAAGCCCTGAGTTCGAGTTATTTGACTTGTAGTGGACTACTTTATGGGCTGTTTTGTGTTGCTTTTGGGTTGTCTATTGTGCTGCTGATTTATGGAGTTTGGAAGGATAAAAATGGCATTGAGAAACGCCACATGTGGTAGGGTAGTAGGTTGGTCGCTCGTCGATGTAGTTGCATGCTAATTGATAATTTGTTGATTGGGTGTATTATGGTATATTTGGGGGTTTTGTTGTATTGAAGGTCCCGGATTGTAATTAGGTTGGTTTTGAGTTGCTGATTGTATTATGTTTGTATCTCGCTTATAGTAGGCTTGAGGGAGCAGTAAAATCAGGGGAAATGCTGCCCGTTTTATTTTAGAATCGAGTTATCATTTGAGATACGTAATATACTACCACCATCTAAATTGTACACGTATTTCTTTGCTATAGGGTTGACGCGCTAGTTGTCATAAGCTTGTTGTTGAGTTGCATTGACGATTTGAGGTATGTTAAAGCTATCCCTTTTTTCTTTTTGGCATGATCCAAATGATACAAACGAAACGAGCAAAATACGCAATGTTTCATAAATGACTCTATTCATAGAAATAATAGGGGTGTCTATATTCTTGATTCCCCATGTGAATTATTATTATATCCTCTGTTCATGGGTCCTAGAAAAATACGTATTTGATAGAGTTTGTCCGAAAGGAATATTAATTTTATGATATTCGAGAAATCTTATTAACGTATTTCTTATGCATTTCATGCATTTATACATGTACATTGACCCATGACCAGAAGGCGTTATATACGCGTATATTATATGTATATGGGATATGGGAAAA